GGATTTTGACCATTTGTGCTGACCTTTCAATTTCAACGTACCTCTCTATAACATGACCCAGCTGTAATTTCAGTGGTCGCATTGGTTTCATTTTTGGTTTGCTTGTAGGGCGCTGGCACCCGCATTGAGTGACCCTAAAAATTTGGCACTGCTGTGAATAGTTTAGTCGCAAAGTGAAGATTCACGGGTAAAAAGCCCCAAACTTCTAGATAGGTTATTTTCCAGCTTTCAGCAGCCCTGGGCGAGTTCTTTAGAGAAATGTGGGTCTTTTTCTTGGTGCTCTTGTCTATGTCCCGCTATACAACGAGATGAGGATGGTCATTGTCATTTTCTGAGCTGCGAACGGGCAGAAAGGTGAGAAAATGTCGGATTTTGACCATTTGTGCTGACCTTTCAATTTCAACGTACCTCTCTAAAACATGACCCAGCTGTAATGTCAGTGGTCGCATTGGTTTGATTTTTGGTTTGCTTGTAGGGCGCTGGCACCCGCATTCAGTGACCCAGAAAATTTGGCACTGCTGTGAATAGTTTAGTCGCAAAGTGAAGATTCACGGGTAAAAAGCCCCAAACTTCTAGATAGGTTCTTTTTCAGCTTTCAGCAGCCCTGGGCGAGTTCTTTAGAGAAATGTGGGTCTTTTTCTTGGTGCTCTTGTCTATGTCCAGCTATACAACGAGATGAGCATGGTCATTGTCATTTTCTGAGCTGCAAACGGGCAGAAAGGTGAGAAAATGTCGGATTTTGACCATTTGTGCTGACCTTTCAATTTCAACGTACCTCTCTATAACATGACCCAGGTGTATTTTCAGTGGTCGCATTGGTTTCATTTTTGGTTTGCTTGTAGGGCGCTGGCACCCGCATTCAGTGACCTAGAAAATTTGGCACTGCTGTGAATAGTTTAGTCGCAAAGTGAAGATTCACGAGTAAAAAGCCCCAAACTTCTAGATAGGTTCTTTTTCAGCTTTCAGCAGCCCTGGGTGAGTTCTTTAGAGAAATGTGGCTCTTTTTCATGGTGCTATTTTCTATGTCCAGCTAGACAACGAGATGAGGATGGTCATTGTCATTTTTTGAGCTGCGAACGGGCAGAAAGGTGAGAAAATGTCGGATTTTGACCATTTGTGCTGACCTTTCAATTTCAACGTACCTCTCTAAAACATGACCCAGCTGTAATTTTAGTGGTCGCATTGGTTTGATTTTTGGTTTGCTTGTAGGGCGCTGGCACCCGCATTCAGTGACCCAGAAAATTTGGCACTGCTGTGAATAGTTTAGTCGCAAAGTGAAGATTCACGGGTAAAAAGCCCCAAACTTCTAGATAGGTTCTTTTTCAGCTTTCAGCAGCCCTGGGCGAGTTCTTTAGAGAAATGTGGGTCTTTTTCTTGGTGCTCTTGTCTATGTCCGGCTATACAACGAGATGAGCATGGTCATTGTCATTTTCTGAGCTGCAAACGGGCAGAAAGGTGAGAAAATGTCGTATTTTGACCATTTGTGCTGACCTTTCAATTTCAACGTACCTCTCTATAACATGACCCAGCTGTAATTTCAGTGGTCGCATTGGTTTGATTTTTGGTTTGCTTGTAGGGCGCTGGCACCCGCATTCCGTGACCCAGAAAATTTGGCACTGCTGTGAATAGTTTAGTCGCAAAGTGAAGATTCACGGGTAAAAAGCCCCAAACTTCTAGATAGGTTCTTTTTCAGCTTTCAGCAGCCCTGGGCGAGTTCTTTAGAGAAATGTGGGTCTTTTTCATGGTGCTATTTTCTATGTCCAGCTATGACGAAGTGTAGTTCGTGGCTGGAACACGGAGTCACGCGGCACTCGCTGCACTGAAACTGGCCAGGCTCGTAGATCTACGTCGTACTTGCGGTGCGGTGCGCGGCCCCATAGATCTGCGCAGCGTGAGAACATAGATTTGTTTTCGCTCGCACGGCAAGATGAAACATTTCAGTCGTCGTGCAACCAGCGCAGACTCAGGATCAGAATGTCGATGGCCTGGCTTTCTTTGCCTCTCTCCAGTCAGACGTCTCCTTTGTCGCCAAGGGGAATCGCAGGGACCTCCTCGAAGCCATTGTAGAATGCTTGGGAGGATTATCCTGGCGAGAAAATGCGAAGCGTGTGGATGTGCTTGTACGACTCGTTTCACGGCATAATGGAGGTCGCGGGTTGGAACGACTGAATATAGTCGACAACGATTCGTACACAGCTCTAGAGATGAAGAGGACGTAGCCAAAGTCCAGCGTCGGACCATCACTGCAGGTGACAAGAATCTGAACGAAATGCGAGCGGAAGCAGCGACTGTTGGCGATGCGGAGTCATTGTCGTCAGGTGACAATGACATGAGCGACGAAGACTCTGAAAATACTCAATCTCATTCGTCTGAGTTGCTTTTTTTCTTTGTATATAGCTTGTAAACAGGTTAGACAATGCCACGAGTGTTATTCCGAGTCAAACGGAACCATTCCAGAGCTGTGCGCAGCTTTCAAAAAAAAAGTCACGAAGTTTTTGTATACGGAGGAAGTAGTTTAGTCGCAAAGTGAAGATTCACGGGTAAAAAGCCCCAAACTTCTAGATAGGTTCTTTTTCAGCTTTCAGCAGCCCTGGGTGAGTTCTTTAGAGAAATGTGGCTCTTTTTCATGGTGCTATTTTCTATGTCCAGCTACACAACGAGATGAGGATGGTCATTGTCATTTTCTGAGCTGCGAACGGGCAGAAAGTTGAGAAAATGTCGGATTTTGACCATTTGTGCTGACCTTTCAATTTCAACGTACCTCTCTATAACATAACCCAACTGTAATTTCAGTGGTCGCATTGGTTTCATTTTTGGTTTGCTTGTAGGGCGCTGGCACCCGCATTCAGTGACCCAGAAAATTTGGCACTGCTGTGAATAGTATAGTCGCAAAGTGAAGATTCACGGGTAAAAAGCCCCAAACTTCTAGATAGGTTCTTTTTCAGCTTTCAGCAGCATTGGGCAAGTTCTTTAGAGAAATGTGTGCCTTTTTCTTGGTGCTCTTGTCTATGTCCAGCTATACAACGAGATGAGCATGGTCATTGTCATTTTCTGAGCTGCGAACGGGCAGAAAGGTGAGAAAATGTCGGATTTTGACCATTTGTGCTGACCTTTCAATTTCAACGTACCTCTCTATAACATGACCCAGCTGTAATTTCAGTGGTCGCATTGGTTTGATTTTTGGTTTGCTTGTAGGGCGCTGGCACCCGCATTCAGTGACCCAGAAAATTTGGCACTGCTGTGAATAGTTTAGTCGCAAAGTGAAGATTCACGGGTAAAAAGCCCCAAACTTCTAGATAGGTTCTTTTTCAGCTTTCAGCAGCCCTGGGCGAGTTCTTTAGAGAAATGTGGGTCTTTTTCTTGGTGCTCTTGTCTATGTCCGGCTATACAACGAGATGAGCATGGTCATTGTCATTTTCTGAGCTGCAAACGGGCAGAAAGGTGAGAAAATGTCGTATTTTGACCATTTGTGCTGACCTTTCAATTTCAACGTACCTCTCTATAACATGACCCAGCTGTAATTTCAGTGGTCGCATTGGTTTGATTTTTGGTTTGCTTGTAGGGCGCTGGCACCCGCATTCCGTGACCCAGAAAATTTGGCACTGCTGTGAATAGTTTAGTCGCAAAGTGAAGATTCACGGGTAAAAAGCCCCAAACTTCTAGATAGGTTCTTTTTCAGCTTTCAGCAGCCCTGGGCGAGTTCTTTAGAGAAATGTGGGTCTTTTTCATGGTGCTATTTTCTATGTCCAGCTATGACGAAGTGTAGTTCGTGGCTGGAACACGGAGTCACGCGGCACTCGCTGCACTGAAACTGGCCAGGCTCGTAGATCTACGTCGTACTTGCGGTGCGGTGCGCGGCCCCATAGATCTGCGCAGCGTGAGAACATAGATTTGTTTTCGCTCGCACGGCAAGATGAAACATTTCAGTCGTCGTGCAACCAGCGCAGACTCAGGATCAGAATGTCGATGGCCTGGCTTTCTTTGCCTCTCTCCAGTCAGACGTCTCCTTTGTCGCCAAGGGGAATCGCAGGGACCTCCTCGAAGCCATTGTAGAATGCTTGGGAGGATTATCCTGGCGAGAAAATGCGAAGCGTGTGGATGTGCTTGTACGACTCGTTTCACGGCATAATGGAGGTCGCGGGTTGGAACGACTGAATATAGTCGACAACGATTCGTACACAGCTCTAGAGATGAAGAGGACGTAGCCAAAGTCCAGCGTCGGACCATCACTGCAGGTGACAAGAATCTGAACGAAATGCGAGCGGAAGCAGCGACTGTTGGCGATGCGGAGTCATCGTCGTCAGGTGACAATGACATGAGCGACGAAGACTCTGAAAATACTCAATCTCATTCGTCTGAGTTGCTTTTTTTCTTTGTATATAGCTTGTAAACAGGTTAGACAATGCCACGAGTGTTATTCCGAGTCAAACGGAACCATTCCAGAGCTGTGCGCAGCTTTCAAAAAAAAAGTCACGAAGTTTTTGTATACGGAGGAAGTAGTTTAGTCGCAAAGTGAAGATTCACGGGTAAAAAGCCCCAAACTTCTAGATAGGTTCTTTTTCAGCTTTCAGCAGCCCTGGGTGAGTTCTTTAGAGAAATGTGGCTCTTTTTCATGGTGCTATTTTCTATGTCCAGCTACACAACGAGATGAGGATGGTCATTGTCATTTTCTGAGCTGCGAACGGGCAGAAAGTTGAGAAAATGTCGGATTTTGACCATTTGTGCTGACCTTTCAATTTCAACGTACCTCTCTATAACATGACCCAGCTGTATTTTCAGTAGTCACATTGGTTTCATTTTTGGTTTTCTTGTAGGGCGCTGCCACCCGCATTCAGTGACCCAGAATATTTGGCACTGCTGTGAATAGTTTAGTCGCAAAGTGAAGATTCACGGTTAAAAAGCCCCAAACTTCTAGATAGGTTCTTTTTCAGCTTTCAGCAGCCCTAGGCGAGTTCTTTGGAGAAATGTGACTCTTTTTCATGGTGCTCTTGTCTATGTCCAGCTAACCAACGAGATGAGGATGGTCATTGTCATTTTCTAAGCTGCGAACGGGCAGGAAGGTGAGAAAATGTCGGATTTTGACCATTTGTGCTGACCTTTCAATTTCAACGTACCTCTCTATAACATGACCCAGCTGTAATGTCAGCGGTCGCATTGGTTTCATTTTTGGTTTGCTTGTAGGGCGCTGGCAGCCACAATCAGTGACCCAGAAAATTTGGCACTGCTGTGAATAGTTTAGTTGCGAAGTGAAGATTCACGGGTAAAAAGCCCCAAACTTCTAGATAGGTTCTTTTTCAGCTTTCAGCAGCCCTGGGCGAGTTCTTTAGAGAAATGTGGGTCTTTTTCTTGGTGCTCATGTCTATGTCCAGCTACACAACGAGAGGAGGATGGTCATTGTCCTTTTCTGAGCTGCAAACGGGCGAAAAGGTGAGAAAATGTCGGATTTTGACCATTTGTGCTGACCTTTCAATTTCAACGTACCTCTCTATAACATGACCCAGCTGTAATTTCAGCGGTCGCATTGGTTTCATTTTTGGTTTGCTTGTAGGGCGCTGGCACCCGCATTCCGTGACCCAGAAAATTTGGCACTGCCGTGAATAGTTTAGTCGCAAAGTGAAGATTCACGGGTAAAAAGCCCCAAACTTCTAGATAGGTTCTTTTTCAGCTTTCAGCAGCCCTGGGCGAGTTCTTTAGAGAAATGTGACTCTTTTTCATGGTGCTTTTGTCTATGTCCAGCTAACCAACGAGATGAGGATGGTCATTGTCATTTTCTAAGCTGCGACCGGGCAGAAAGGTGAGAAAATGTCGGATTTTGACCATTTGTGCTGACCTTTCAATTTCAACGTACCTCTCTATAACATGACCCAGCTGTAATGTCAGCGGTCGCATTGGTTTCATATTTGGTTTGCTTGTAGGGCGCTGGCACCAACAATCAGTGACCCTAAAAATTTGGCACTCCTGTGAATAGTTTAGTCGCAAAGTGAAGATTCACGGGTAAAAAGCCCCAAACTTCTAGATATGTTCTTTTTCAGCTTTCAGCAGCCCTGGGCGAGTTCTTTAGAGAAATGTGGGTCTTTTTCTTGGTGCTCTTGTCTATGTCCAGGTACACAACGAGATGAGGATGGTCATTGCCATTTTCTGAGCTGCGAACGGGCAGAAAGGTGAGAAAATGTCGGATTTTGACCATTTGTACTGACCTTTCAATTTCAACGTACCTCTTTATGACATGACCCAGCTGTAATTTCAGTGGTCGCATTGGTTTCATTTTTGGTTTGCTTGTAGGGCGCTGGCACCCGCATTTAGTGACCCAGAAAATTTGGCACTGCTGTGAATATTTTAGTCGCAAAGTGAAGATTCACGGGTAAAAAGCCCCAAACTTCTAGATAGGTTCTTTTTCAGCTTTCAGCAGCCCTGGGTGAGTTCTTTAGAGAAATGTGACTCTTTTTCATGGTGCTCTTGTCTATGTCCAGCTAACCAACGAGATGAGGATGGTCATTGTCATTTTCTAAGCTGCGAACGGGCAGAAAGGTGAGAAAATGTCTGACTTTGACCATTTGTGCTGACCTTCCAATTTTAACGTACCTCTCTATAACATGACCCAGCTGTAATATCAGCGGTCGCATTGGTTTCATATTTGGTTTGCTTGTAGGGCGCTGGCACCCACAATCAGTGACCCTAAAAATTTGGCACTGCTGCTGTTGCTGCTGCTGCTGCTGCTGCAGGCCAGGCTAAAATTAGTGGCGGTCAATTCATCAGCCTTGCAAGCTGTTGAATTGTGTAACCCCGACACAAGTTGCTATGACTAACATAGCGTGTTCGCTATCATCGCGTCAGCAATGGGCATATGGAAGGAAGGTGCTGCTGCTGTGCCCGGTAGAGAGTCGCAAAGTGAAGATTCACGGGTAAAAAGCCCCAAACTTCTAGATAGATTCTTTTTCAGTTTTCAGCAGCCCTGGGCGAGTTCTTTAGAGAAATGTGGGTCTTTTTCTTGGTGCTCTTGTCTATGTCCCGCTATACAACGAGATGAGGATGGTCATTGTCATTTTCTGAGCTGCGAACGGGCAGAAAGGTGAGAAAATGTCGGATTTTGACCATTTGTGCTGACCTTTCAATTTCAACGTACCTCTCTATAACATGACCCAGCTGTAATTTCAGTGGGTGCATTGGTTTGATTTTTGGTTTGCTTGTAGGGCGCTGGCACCCGGATTCAGTGACCCAGAAAATTTGGCACTGCTGTGAATAATTTAGTCGCAAAGTGAAGATTCACGGGTAAAAAGCCCCAAACTTCTAAATATGTTCTTTTTCAGCTTTCAGCAGCCCTGGGTGAGTTCTTTAGAGAAATGTGGCTCTTTTTCATGGTGCTATTTTCTATGTCCAGCTACACAACGAGATGAGGATGGTCATTGTCATTTTCTGAGCTGCGAACGGGCAGAAAGGTGAGAAAATGTCGGATTTTGACCATTTGTGCTGACCTTTCAATTTCAACGTACCTCTCTATAACATGACCCAGCTGTAATTTCAGAGGTCGCATTGGTTTGATTTTTGGTTTGCTTGTAGGGCGCTGGCACCCGCATTCAGTGACCCAGAAAATTTGGCACTGCTGTGAATATTTTAGTCGCAAAGTGAAGATTCACGGGTAAAAAGCCCCAAACTTTTAGATAGGTTCTTTTTCAGCTTTCAGCAGCCCTGGGCGAGTTCTTTAGAGAAATGTGACTCTTTTTCATGGTGCTCTTGTCTATGTCCAGCTAACCAACGAGATGAGGATGGTCATTGTCATTTTCTAAGCTGCGAACGGGCAGAAAGGTGAGAAAATGTCGGACTTTGACCATTTGTGCTGACCTTCCAATTTTAACGTACCTCTCTATAACATGACCCAGCTGTAATGTCAGCGGTCGCATTGGTTTCATATTTGGTTTGCTTGTAGGGCGCTGGCACCCACAATCAGTGACCCTAAAAATTTGGCACTGCTGTGAATAGTTTAGTCGCAAAGTGAAGATTCACGGGTAAAAAGCCCCAAACTTCTAGATAGGTTATTTTCCAGCTTTCTGCAGCCCTGGGCGAGTTCTTTAGAGAAATGTGGGTCTTTTTCTTGGTGCTCTTGTCTATGTCCCGCTATACAACGAGATGAGGATGGTCATTGTCATTTTCTGAGCTGCGAACGGGCAGAAAGGTGAGAAAAAGTCGGATTTTGACCATTTGTGCTGACCTTTCAATTTCAACGTACCTCTCTAAAACATGACCCAGCTGTAATTTCAGTGGTCGCATTGGTTTCATATTTGGTTTGCTTGTAGGGCGCTGGCACCCGCATTCAGTGACCCAGAAAATTTGGCACTGCTGTGAATAGTTTAGTCGCAAAGTGAAGATTCACGGGTAAAAAGCCCCAAACTTCTAGATAGGTTCTTTTTCAGCTTTCAGCAGCCCTGGGCGAGTTCTTTAGAGAAATGTGGCTCTTTTTCTTGGTGCTCTTGTCTATGTCCAGCTATACAACGAGATGAGCATGGTCATTGTCATTTTCTGAGCTGCAAACGGGCAGAAAGGTGAGAAAATGTCGGATTTTGACATTTTGTGCTGACCTTTCAATTTCAACGTACCTCTCTATAACATGACCCAGCTGTAATTTCAGTGGTCGCATTGGTTTGATTTTTGGTTTGCTTGTAGGGCGCTGGCACCCGCATTCAGTGACCCAGAAAATTTGGCACTGCTGTGAATATTTTAGTCGCAAAGTGAAGATTCACGGGTAAAAAGCCCCAAACTTTTAGATAGGTTCTTTTTCAGCTTTCAGCAGCCCTGGGCGAGTTCTTTAGAGAAATGTGACTCTTTTTCATGGTGCTTTTGTCTATGTCCAGCTAACCAACGAGATGAGGATGGTCATTGTCATTTTCTAAGCTGCGAACGGGCAGAAAGGTGAGAAAATGTCGGACTTTGACCATTTGTGCTGACCTTCCAATTTTAACGTACCTCTCTATAACATGACCCAGCTGTAATGTCAGCGGTCGCATTGGTTTCATATTTGGTTTGCTTGTAGGGCGCTGGCACCCACAATCAGTGACCCTAAAAATTTGGCACTGCTGTGAATAGTTTAGTCGCAAAGTGAAGATTCACGGGTAAAAAGCCCCAAACTTCTAGATAGGTTATTTTCCAGCTTTCAGCAGCCCTCGGCGAGTTCTTTAGAGAAATGTGGGTCTTTTTCTTGGTGCTCTTGTCTATGTCCCGCTATACAACGAGATGAGGATGGTCATTGTCATTTTCTGAGCTGCGAACGGGCAGAAAGGTGAGAAAATGTCGGATTTTGACCATTTGTGCTGACCTTTCAATTTCAACGTACCTCTCTATAACATGACCCAGCTGTAATTTCAGTGGTCGCATTGGTTTGATTTTTGGTTTGCTTGTAGGGCGCTGGCACCCGCATTCAGTGACCCAGAAAATTTGGCACTGCTGTGAATAGTTTAGTCGCAAAGTGAAGATTCACGGGTAAAAAGCCCCAAACTTCTAGATAGGTTCTTTTTCAGCTTTCAGCAGCCCTGGGCGAGTTCTTTAGAGAAATGTGGGTCTTTTTCATGGTGCTATTTTCTATGTCCAGCTACACAACAAGATGAGGATGGTCATTGTCATTTTCTGAGCTGCGAACGGGCAGAAAGGTGAGAAAATGTCGGATTTTGACCATTTGTGCTGACCTTTCAATTTCAACGTACCTCTCTATAACATGACCCAGGTGTATTTTCAGTGGTCGCATTGGTTTCATTTTTGGTTTGCTTGTAGGGCGCTGGCACCCGCATTCAGTGTCCCACAAAATTTGGCACTGCTGTGAATAGTTTAGTCGCAAAGTGAAGATTCACGAGTAAAAAGCCCCAAACTTCTAGATAGGTTCTTTTTCAGCTTTCAGCAGCCCTGGGTGAGTTCTTTAGAGAAATGTGGCTCTTTTTCATGGTGCTATTTTCTATGTCCAGCTACACAACGAGATGAGGATGGTCATTGTCATTTTCTGAGCTGCGAACGGGCAGAACGGTGAGAAAATGTCGGATTTTGACCATTTGTGCTGACCTTTCAATTTCAACGTACC